CCTGAGCCAGTCCCTCCTCGCGGAGGGCGAGCCCGTCGAGTCGTTCGAAATGGAAATGCTGCGCGCCGAGAAGGAGCAGTTCCAGGCCGAGGTGCGCCATCACTTCAGTTGACTCTCTTTGACTCTCTCTCTTTTCTTCTCTTCTTGACTCTCTTTTCTCTTCTTCTTTTCTCTTTGGTGTGTGTCGTGTGTGTGTGTCGTGTTGTGTGTGTCGTGTGCGTGTGCGCGTGCGGTGGACAGGCGGAGCAGCTGCGGAGGGAGAAGGAGGAGCTGGAGGAGGCGGTGGAGCAGACGAGGCGGGAGTTCGAGAGCAAGGCGCAGGCGCTGGACAGGGAGCGGGAGGAGGAGAAGGCCACCCACAACGAAGAGAAGCGGAAGCAGCTCGAGCAGGAGCTCAACGACCTCCGCCAGAAGACCGCCCAGAAGCTGGCCGAGTTCGACCAGCTCAAGACCTCCCTCCTGCGCGACCTCCAGAACCGATGCGAAAAGGTAAATCGCACTTGCGCACACGACACACACACACCACGACACACACACCACGACACACACACACACACGACACACACGAAGAAGGGTCTCACACGCAACACGCCACACACCGCAGGTGATCGATCTGGAGATGCTGCTCGACGAGGCCCGCGAGCAGTACGAGCAGCTCCTCAAGAACTCCTCCAACAAGTCCCTCCAGGTTTTCAGGCCTTCTTCGCACTCTCCGTCGCTTTCGTTCTTTCTTTCTTTCGTTCTTTTCTTCTGAAAGCGCCAACTCACGCTTTCGTTCTTTTCCCCCCCCCCGCTGCGCGCGTGCAGAAGCGTAACATGTTCCTCGAGCGCAACCTGGAGCAGCTGACGCGCGTGCACCAGCAGCTGGTCAACCAGAACAATGAGCTGCGACTCGAGAAGAAGGTGTCGGAGAAGAAGCTCGCCGCCAGGAACGAGCGCATCCGCGGCCTCGAGGTTTTGCTCTCCAGCGCGCAGGAGAAGCTGCAGCAGCAGTCAGAGAAGTACGCCACACACACGACACACACACACACACACACACACACGACACACACACATACGACACACACACACGACACACACACATACGACACACACACACACACACGACACACACTTGCGTGTGAGCAGCTGTGCTGACGTCAGCCACGCCCGAATCATTCGCACCGCAGCCACGGGACGCAGGTGTCCAAGTACAAGCAGCTCGTCGACGAGCTCAAGGCCAAGCTGGACCAAGGTGCGCGCCCGCCCCCCCTACAGATGACGGTGATGGTGGTAATGGTGACGATGATGATTGTTTGTGTGCTGATCGGCTGCGTGCGTCGATGTGTTGCTGTTGTTGTTGTTCAGCCCAAGCGCGAGCGCAGAGCCGAGGCCGCTCGTCGTCGATCGGAAACGGAAACGGCGGCGCGCGCATTATCAAGCCCATCCGAGGCGGCGGCGGTAGGAAGAAGCCCGACCTCGCCTCGTCGTCGTCGTCGCTGTCCACCACGGCCGCCACCGCCGCCGGCAGCAGCAGCAGCCCCGGCGGCACCTCGCTCCGCCGGTCGTCGTCGTCGCTTGCCTCCGAGTCGCCCTCCTCCGGCAAGCGATCGTCTACCAAGGAGAAGGCGGCCGCGGCGGCCTCGCTCAAGTCGTCGGACAACTTCGCGCTCCACTCCAACATCGCCGACGCGGCCTCGTCGTCGTCGCCGTCGTTGTCCGGTGCCGCACCGTCGTCGCCCTACCGACCGCCGCACCAGTCCTCCGAGTGAGCAAGGGAGACGCGCGCGAGCGCACAGTCGTTCTTTTCTTCACCCCCCTCCACTACTGTAGTAAACCTCGTTTCTTTGCTCTCTTTGCTTTCTTTGTTCGTCGACGATGATGACGACGACGGGGGAACAAGCGTGTAAGGTTATGTTTCGATTTATACATTGGGTGGAGGCACGGCCGCACTGCGTGGGCTGGGGATGATGAAGCGGGGGCAACGCGATCACATCATGACGCCGAGGGCAGCTGCTCGATCTGCTTCAGCAGGAAGGCCTTCTCGTCCGCGAACTGCTCATCCTCTGCTGAACCGGAAGCCGTGGCCGCCACCACACAGGACACAACACGACACACACGGCACACACGACACGACACGACACACAAACAGAGCCGAGGCGCGAAGGACGGTGAAGCGTTGGTGTGAGCCTTGGCCGGTGGAAGCAGTGGAGGTGTGTGTGTGTGTGTGGTGTGTGTGGTGTGGTATGTGTGGTGTGTGTGTGTGTGTGTGTGAGTGAGTGTGTGTGTGTGTGTCGTGTGTGTGGTAGCACAAACCTTTCTCGTTGTGGAAGTTGCTGAGGAAGCTGATGAGCTTCTCCTTGTTCTTGGTCAGAATGTCGAGAATGGGCTTGGCCTTGTTGGGGTTGGCCACGAACACCTTGAAGACGTGGAAGGCCTCGAACTGGATGTTTTTGCTCTTGTCCCTCAGGAGGTTCATCATCAGCTTGAGGTTCTGCTGGTCGCTGATGTACTTGGTCATCACGTTGAAGTTGGCCCTGTCCAGCAACAGCTCGCCGAGCAGCTACACGACACACACACGACACACGACACACAACACACACACGACACACAACACACGCAAGGCACGGAGGAGGTGAGGCCAGGGCCGAGTTGACGCTACGTGGAAGCGAACGAGTAGCCGATGACGAACGCCCTCGATGACGACGAAGAGGAGGAGGGCGCTGGCGAGCGCACCTTGAGGGACTGCCGCCTGGTGACGTAGTTCTTCGAGTGCAGCAGCTGCGTGTAGTCCTCGAAGATGACGTCGTAGTTCTTCTCCAAGAACTCGGCACACAGCGCCTTGTGCTTGGTCAGGAGATCCTACACGGGGATGGGAGAAGACAAGCAAAAATCAACACACCAAACATGAATGTAAAAAAGAACAAGAATCAATCATAATAATAATAATTGCGAGTAGTAGCAACGACGACTACAGCAACGACGTAGAAGGCCAACGCCAACAATGAGAAGATTAAGAAAATCTCGGGGGGAGAGAGAGTAGAAGGCTGTGCCTGACTCGAGTAGAGGAATGGTGGTAGATGGGGGGGGGGAAGGGGTACCTTGAAGGTGGCGAAGGCGTCCGAGGCCACATCGAAGCCGGGATTCTCGACAAAGGTGAAGAACTTGAGGAAGTGCTCAGAGTGCAGGACGAGCTGGGCGAGGCTCTCGTTGTCGAGGCACACTCGCAGCAGCTGGCCGCAGATCACCGCCACCTCCGGATCTTCGTAGCCGAGCACGAGGTCATCGAGCAGCTTGCTGTTCTTCTCGAGAAAATCGACGCCCGTCTTCCTCCCCGCGACCTCGCGGCGCATCAGATTGCCGAACAGAATCACAAAGTCCTTCTTGGCCTACAAATTAGCGTGTAGAGGCAAATGGGGGGGGGGATTAATTGGGAGGAAATTGCGCTACTTGCTGCATGCCCTCACACAGTGCACCTTCTACACAGATTCAACACACTAGTGGGCGTGGAGGGGGGGGGTACTTCGAATTCAATGGCCCCCATGTTGGAGAAGAGGAGGCCGAGCAGGTCGCCCTGGAAGATCTCGGTGAGGAGTTCGTCGCCGGCCTCGGGCGTGGGTTCGGTCTTGCCGTCGCCGTAGAGGAGCACCTTCATGCCCGTGATGCTGTTCGACACTTCAGCGATGGCCTTCTCCTGTTTGGATCCGCCACCCGAGTGCTTAATGTAGGCCTGCACGCCCTGTCGGCAGTGCTTCACCAGCACTGACGGCTTCTCCTTCTTGCTGCCCTTGAACATCTCTCGTTTCTTTATCTCTCTCCCTCTTGTGTCGCCAAATCACGCCCGCGTCCAAACAAATAATTACAATAATATTGTCTTTGGTTGCTATTTCGTGTCCAGGCACAACAACACCATTATTTATATTATTTATTTTTATTTCCTGAAAGAGGGTACAAGGAAAATCGTTGCTTAAAAAACGGGCCAATGGGTTGGCACGCCCGTCTGCGCGGGAAAGGGAATTTCCTTTCTTGGCCAAAAGAAGTGGTGAGGGTGGGAAAAGAGCACACACTCACTCGGAGGTGGTTGGTGTGGGACCGCTGCGAAGAATAGCGGCACACGGGTGTTTCGAAAAAAGGGGTCTGTCAGAGAGTGAGAGTGAGAGAGGACCTCCTCATCGAGAAAGAAAAGTGAGAGAGAGAGAGAGAGAGTGCGTTTGGCCAGCCGATGAGACTGGGCGCCATCTAGCTTAGACAACTCCTCTTCATCTCGGCCTCCTCCAACACAAGCATCTCATCTCCTCCTCTCACCTCGGAGCCGAGCCTTGCTCGCCCCCCTCGTAAATCGCGTGGGATGACGGAGACGAGGACCCGTTCAGCTACTCGCCACATGCTACCACTACATCACTCGTCTCTCCTCTCCGCCTTTCTCCTCCTCCTCCCACTCCTCTTCTTCTCCCTGGTCTCTTCCACCTCGCCTCCCCTCGTCGCCGCCCGCCTAACTGACACCCACCACATCCTTCAGCGTCAAGGTACTGCTAAGTCCCTATCTTCTCGATTGTTCTTTCATCTCCCGCAAATCTCTCCCCCCCCCGGATCTGTTCCATTCTACTTTTCATCTTCACTGGTGTAGAACCACCATGTGATGTTGTTGATGATGTTTTTACTCACTCGCTTGCAGGGTCCAACGCACCGCTGCCCTTGAGCTACCTGGCCAAGGTGTCCGACGCCGGGGGCGCGTTGATCATCCAGTTCGACGTTGACACCAACCGGGCGGGCCAGAGCGGGGTGTTCCCCTGCTCCACTGTCTTCGACGATGCGTCCGCAGAGGCTCTGGGCGGCTCCGCCTCCGTGTGCCTGTGGCGCGACGCCCGCACCCTCGTGGCCCGCTTCGGCTACTACGCGAGCGTGGCCATCAACGATCTTCTGTCCCTGCGGCAGGGCGTAATCGGACGGCTGGATTCGCCATCCGTCACGCTCGACGATTACGAATCGCGGGTGCTGCTGGTGATCAGCCCCGACACGCCAGCCGCGCCCGTGGTGGTGATCGAGGGCACATCGGCCGTGGGGTGGTGCGACGTGCTCACCCTCGATGCATCGGCCTCTTACGGCTCGGGCGGTCGCGCCTACGTGGGCGGCTACCAGTGGGGCCTCGTGGCGCCAGAGGACAACTCGACCGACGTCACGGAGGGGGTGGCGCTCTACCTGGCCAGCCAGCGCGACGTAGTGGTCTCGCTCGATGGAAGCTCGCTCTCGTTCAACACTACGCGCACCTACACCTTCTCCCTCACCCTCACCAACTGGCTCGGCCTCTCCTCCACGGCCTACTTCCCCGTCGAGATCATCGCCACCGACCAGGTCATCGTGCGCATCGCTGGTGGAAACGTACGTTCTCGCCCCCCCCCCCAATCTGTGAAAAACAAAAGAAAAAAAAGTAGATGAGGAAAGAAATCAATCAAACGTGCAAAGAGAAGAGATTGCGAGAAAGATGTGAAGGAGAGGTCTGCTATTACGAATCTTGCTTGGTATGGATTATTATTATTCTTCTTCTAAGAACGTTACGTTCTACTCCATCACAGCCCACGATCCAGAGGGGCACCGACCTGTCGCTGCGCGGTAGTGTGGAGCCGCCGTGCGTGTGCAAGCGGGATGCGTCGCTGGCCGTGTGCGACCCGGAGGCGCGCTACTCGTACGCGTGGGTGCGCACCGGGGGTCCCGTGGTGGCGCTCGACCTGGCCTCGCGCACGTCGTCCGCCCTCCACCTCCCGGCCAACGCCCTGCAGGCCGGCGCCACCTACCGCTTCACCCTCACCGCCACCAGCGCCGGCCTGCTGGGCCACGTCGGCCAGGCCACCGTCACCGTCACCGTGCTCGACGAGCCCGTGCGCGCCGTGCTCGAGTCCGGCACCCGCTACGTGTCCCGCTACGCGCCCATCGAGCTCGACGGCTCCCTGCGCTCCTCGCCCGCCCAGCATGACGAAGGCGAAGACGATCAGGTGAGCTACCAGTGGTCGTGCGCGTGGGCCGGCAGCGCCGATCTGGCCTACGAGGGCGTCGACGACGGCGCGTGCCCGGCGGCGCGCTACCTCGGCACGGCGGCCTACCAGGCGCCGCACGTCACGCTGCCTGCCGGCACGCTGCCCCCTGGCGACTGGCGCTTCACCCTCACCGTGACCCGCGCGGGCAAGCCCTTCGAAGAAGAAGGCGCGGAGAAGCGCGGGATGGCACTGGACGTGGCCACGGCCGACCAGCTCGTCACCATCGGCTGGGGCGACGCCCCGACGGTCTTTGTGCGCCTGCTGGCCGCCGGCGACAACGTCGACCCGTCGGCCGACGCGCTGGTCAAGTTCGAGGCCAGCGTGGCCTCGCCGCTGGGCCGCACCGTGAGCGAGCTCGCGTGGTCGCTGGTCGACGGCGACATCGACGCCAACCTCACCGCCGTGGTCGATCCCGGCAGCGACGCCGCCGTGCTCGCCTTCCGGCCCGACGTGCTCACGCCCGGCGCCCAGTACCGCCTGCGCCTCGTGGCGCGCTACGCCGACGACCTCCTCCAGCCGGCCGACTGGGCCACCACCGCGACCGGCGGCCTCCCGTGGGCCGCCTCGACGCCCGCCGCCGCCGGCTGGGCCGAGGTCACCTTTGCCGTCGGCGCCTTCCCGTGGGGCGGCACCTGCGACCTGCAGCTGCCCGAGGGCGAGGGCGAGAAGGGTCCCGGCCGCACCGCGCTCGCCACGGCCCTCTGCGCCGGCTTCGACGCCGCGATCGCGGCCAACGCCGACGACGGCCCGGTCTTTACGCACTACTACGTCCGCCACTCGGCCGACGTCCTGGGCGGCCTCTTCCCGCTGGGCTCGCACAGGTCGGTGGCCGCTGGCCGCGTCGAGACCTACCTGCCCTCGACCGGCAGCGCCGGCGAAGAATCGCTGGCTCTCTACGCGCGCGTCTTTGATCGCACGGGCTCGCCCGCCTACGCCCCGCCGGCGTCGGCTGCTGCCGAGGGCGAAGCGGAGAGCGACAGCGCCGCCGAGCCCCGGCTGCTCGAGGTCGCATCGGGCGTCGTCGTGCAGGCCGCCCTCGCCGACTCGGCCGAGGCGGTCGCCGCGCTGCTCGCCAGCGGCGCCGGCCTCGAGGCCATCCAGCGCGGGCGCGTGGACCTCGTTCCGACGCTCCTCTATTCGCTCCTGTTCGAGCTCAACACCGCCGTCGGCACCGCCGGCAACCCTTTCGCCGTCGGCTCCACGGAGCGCGACGTGCGCGAGGCCGTGTTCGACGTGCTGCGCCGCCAGCTGGCCTTTGAGCGCTCGGCCGACGCCACCACCGTCCAGGCCCACCTGCTCTACCTTCTCGCCGGCGGCTCCCGCACCACCACCACCACTGCGGGCCGGCGCGGCCTCCACACGGTGGCGCCCAAGGCCAAGCGAAGCGGCAGCACCGACCTCGGCCTGCACGTCGTGCAACACCTCCGCGAGCTCGTCGCCGCCTCCCCGCAATCTTCCGACCGCGCCGTACGTCCGCCTTCACTTCCGCCTTCATTCTCCCCAGCGCGACTGACATGACACTCGACACGCACTCGACACACGACACGACACGACACGACACGCACACACGACACACGACACGACACACGGTGTGTGCAGTACATCGCGAACGCGGCGTCGAACCTGCTGGAGTACTACAAGGCCCTGGCGCTGGACTCGAGCGCGTTTGCGTCGGAGCTGGTGGCCCTGATCACCGAGCTCGCCGTCGAGCAGGCCGCCGCCTCCGCCCAGACCCGCACCTACACCTGGAGCACCCCCAACATCCAGGCCGCCGCCGGCAAATGCACGCACCCCCCACCCCACCCAACCACCACCCGTCGTGTGTCGTGTGTGTCATGTTGCGTGTTGCGTGTCGCGTGTCGTGTGCGGTCGGGCGTTCGACTTACCCCCGATTGCGCAGACTCGGCGAGCGATCTGCCGGCCACCATGCAGGCGGGGGGCGTCACGGTGACGCTGCCCACGGCGGACATCCGGCTGCAGGCGGGCGGCGACGCCGACGACGCCGAGGTGGTGATCGCCCTGTGCACGTTCGCGCTCAACCCGCAGCCGTCGGCCGGCGGCAACGTGACCCTCATGGCGCCCGTGACCACGCTCATCGTGCGCGTCGACGGCCGCGACATCGCCCTCGCCGGCCCGCTCACGCAGAACTTCATCATCGCCCACCCCGCCGTCATCAGCGAGAACCCCAACGGCCTCAACATCCCCCGTACAACCCCCCCCCCAAACCTCCGTTTGTTTTGGTTTTGTTTTGGTTTTTGTTTTGGTTTTGTTGACGGAGTTGAGTTTGCGCAGACTCTTGCCGGCGGCTACAACGTCTCGTGCCAGAGCTGGAGCGGCGCTGGCTGGACCCAGTCCTGCTCGCCCGCCGGTTCGGGTTCCGGTACGCCCCTCCCCACCACCACTCGTGTCGTTGGTCGTGTCGTGTCGTTGGTCGTGTCGTGTCGTGTCGTGTCGTGTCGTGTCGTGTCGTGCGGTGTGTGGGTTGTGGATGTTGTGCTGACCATCGTCGCTCAGCCGGATCGGTGGTCGCATCGAGCCGCGGCACGACGTGTGCCTGCTCGAGCCTCGTCTCGGGCGCCCTCCTCTCCGTGCGCGCCTTCGCCCGTGGCCCGTACGCCCCCCCCCGCACGTGGCTTTGCATTAAATGTCGTCGTCGTCGTCGTCGTTGATTGACAATCGTTGCCCCCCCTCCACAGTGTGGTGCAGCCCAGCGCGTCGCCGGTCGTGGCGGCCGAGGACCGGTCGTCGGGCAGCGGCGAGGAGCGGTGGATCCTCCTCGCCATCTTCGTCGTCTTCGCCATCGTCGTCCTGCTCAGTGCGCCCCCCCCCAACCGCCACCGGCGATTAGACGTGCTGACGTGTCGCGCGTGCTGACGTGTGTGTTGTGTGTGACGGCACGACACGACGCAGTTCTGCTGTTCGGGTTCCGTCTGTACATCCTGAAGCCGGAGACGCAGGAGGCCGAGTACGAGATCCCGGCCGTGCGCGAGGCCCCCGCCGAGTCGGACGCGCAGGCGGGCGCGCTCGCCGGCGAGGAGCCCCACGCCGAGGCCGCCAAGCGCGACGAGATGTTGGCCGCCGACGAGGCCGGCCCCGAGGACCTGGGCCTGCCCTCGGAGAACGACTCGGAGGCCAGCGTGGTGCTCCGCCGCCCCAAATTCCAGAACGGACGCATCGTGTTCGAGGGCGACATGTCGTACGCCCCCCCCCCTCTTTCTTTCTCTTCATTTCGTTTTCGTCCTTTTTGTTTGCCGGATTGCTGCTCACGCGGGGGCGGTACGCGCAGGCGGGAGTCATCGCGCGCGCGCTCGCGCACTCGCTCGCGCTCGTCGAGGTCGAGGTCGAACAGCCGATCGCGCAGCGGCTCCTCCTACGCGCGCCCGAGGCGACGATCCGGCTCGCGCTCCAAGTCCAGCTCCAGGTCCGCCGCGAGACGTTCGCCCTCCCGATCCTCCCGCGACTCCCCCAGGTACCGCCCTCCTCTGCACACGACACGGCACACGACACATACGACACATACGACACACGACACACGACACACATGACACACACGACACGTCAGCACACGACACTCACCAACAACGCGTGCGTGCGCAGTACGAGGGGAGGGCGCAGCGGCGAGGACTTTTCGAGCGAGGAGGAGCGCGGCGGCGAGCAGAGGCGGGACAGCGAGGCGTCGGAGAAGAGGCGGGAGGAGCCGGCGCCTCCCGTCAAGCAGCAGCAGCAGCAGCAGCAGCGGGAAGCCGAAGCCGAGAAGGAGCCTGCGGCCCCCGTCAAGCAGCAGCCACTCGCGGCGGCGGCGCCCAAGCCTTCGTCTGGTTCGGTGCCCGAGCCCGACAGGCGCGGCTCGAGCGACAGCTCAGAGGGCGAGGAGCAGACCGACAGCGAGCCGGAGAGCGACCGCAGCAGGTCCAGCAGGTCCAAGAGCCGCGGCGGTGCCGACGACGACAAGGAAGGGAACCGTGACAGCAGCTCCGACAGCGGCAGCGACGACGACGACGACAAGAGCCGGAGCCGGAGCCGGAGCCGGTCCCACAGCAGCCGGTCGCAGTCGCGAGGGTCCTCCCGGTCTCGGTCGAGCCGCAGCCGCAGCGGCTCGTCGAGGAGCGGGTCATCGGAGGAGGAGGACTCGACGGCCGGTTCGGACAACGACAACATGTGAACGCCCTCCGCCTCCCATTACGCCCCCCCCCACCGCCACCACAACGCCGCCAGGTAACTGACCTCTAAGAGAGAAGAGAAGAGAAGAGAGGAAGAAGAGAGAGAGAGAGAGAGAGGGATAGAAGAAGGCGTGCTGTGTGTTACGCATCAGCGCCACTTTACTGTTTTATGAAATACACCAAAAATTAAAAAAAGGCTGAAATGTGAAGAGCCACTCTCCTCTCAGTAGCCAAAGAAGGAGAAGCCGCGGTCCTCTGGCCGGCCTCGCAGGAAGTCCCACACTATGCACGTGCGATCCGCACTGCCTGACACGATCTTGCTGGCGTCGAACTTGAGCGATGTCACCATTTCCGTGTGCCCCTGTTGTGATCATACACAACACACAATAGGCACACACACACACACGACCAACGTGACACGCAACAGCAGCACACACCACACAAGACATGGCGCGCGCTGTGAGCCTTTGCGTTCACAGATGGCAAGAGGGGCGTGGGGGAGGGGGGAAGACCTGGAGTATTTGGATGCACTCCCCCGAGTGCATGTCCCATATTCGCAGGCTGTCATCGGCTGCCCCGGACACGATCTTGTTGTTGTCGAACCGTAGGTTCATGACCGTATATCTATTTAACATTGTACAATATATATATATATATATCAATAAAGTAGAAAAATACAGTAATATTGTAGAAGAATAGAATAGAATAGATGGAGGTGCGGTGAGTGGTGAAAGGAAAGAGCGAACAAGCGAGGGGGGGGGATCAGCGCGTACCGGTGGCCGCTCAGCTTTTTGATGACCTCGCCCTTCTCGAAATCCCACACAAATATCTGTCTGTCTCTCGCGCCGCTCACCAGCCTGTTGGTCGCGAGATCGAACTGCAGACAGTACACCTGTGTGTCGTGTGTGTCGTGTGTGTCGTGTGTGTCGTGTGAGTGTCGTGTGTCGCCCCAAAGACACCGCGCAGGTCAGTCGGAGAACAGCCTCCCGATGGGGTTTGGGGCTTGTGGGGTGTGTGTGTGTGTGTGTGTGTGTGCGATGTGTGGCGGTGTGTGCGGTGACGTACGGCTTTGGAGTGGGCCTCCAGCACGCGCTGGTAGTGGTTGGACCGCCGGAGGTCGAACGTGTAGATGGCCTTCTCCCGCTTCGAGGCCGTGCATAGGACATCGTCCTGAAATTGCAGGCAACTGATCGACCCCCCACACGGCACTGATGTAGACAACGACCAACGACACACAACACGACACGACACACACGACACACGCAACACGACACGACACGACACGGCATGAGCAGGCTGTGGTCGATTGAAGGGGGGTGGGTGAGGGTGTTGGCTGATATACCCTTGATGGTCTTGATGTACTTGCCGGTGCGTACGTCGAATATCTTGATGGTCTTGTCGTCGCTGCCGGTGACGAGCAGCTCCGAGGTGAATTGGAGGCACTTGACGCCGCCGTCGTGCCCGCCGATCACCTGCGTGCACTGACCTGCGTGCGGTAAACCCCCCCCCGGTACATTGTTGGTTTTCGCACGCACACACGACACACACGACACACGACACACACGACACACACAATGGCGCGATGATGGGTTAGTTACCGGTGTTGGGATCGAACTCGCGCAGCTTGGAGTCCGAGGAGCCGGTCATGATGCGGTTCTTGTCGAACTGGAGGCACCACACGGGCGAGAGGACGCCGTTGGACTCGTTCTTGAGAGTCTGCAGCATGTTGCCTGCAGCGCGCCCACCCACCCACCCCGGCACACGTCAGCGATACGGGCCGCCACCCGATACGAACCGTGTTTGTGTGTTGTGTGTGTGTGTGTGTGTGTGTGTGTGTGTGTGTGTGTGTGTGTGTGTGTGTGTGTTGTGTGCGTGTGTTGTGTGTGTCGTGTACCTGTTTGCGTGTTCCAGATCCTCACGGTCCCGTCGTAGCTTGAGCTCACCAGCTTGTTGGCGTAGAAATCGACGCACGTGACCCTGCATCCACCACGCACGACGACACGCGCGCGCGTCAATAGATAACATATCGGCGCGTGTGTGTTGTGTCGCGTGATGTGTGATGTGCGCCCGAACAGGATCGCGACATGATCATGGAGCGCGGCGAAAGGGTGTGTGTGTGTGTGTGTGTGGCAGATGACGCGGTGGGTGGTGGCGCCAGGCGGGTGTAGACGTACCAGCCCGTGTGGCCGCGGAGGGTGCTCATGTGGTAGTGACCGTTGAGCCAGTTGCGTTCGAGGAGGTAGCGCCCCTTCACGATCTCGCGCCAGTCGCGCGTCGCGCCCTCCTCCTTCTCATCCGGCAGCCCCCACCTGCACACAGAACACACACGACACACACACGTCGCGCGAACTCAGGATCAGCCAGGGGCCGGGCGGCCGGTTGGTGTGCAGTAGTCGTGCGCCGACGGCTCCGCCAGCTGACGTGCGTGTGTGCGTGTGTGCGTGTGTGCGTGTGTGTGGTGAGGCGGGCGTAACTGCATGCGGATGTGCAGGTCCGTCCATAGCACGGCGTCGTTGGTGAGGCGTCGCCAGTCGGTCGACACCTGGGCTGGTGGGCGACGATGATGGTGCACCGACGACGACGACGACGTAGAGCACGATGAGCTCTCATGATTGACGGGGGGGTAGAAGTAGAAAGGGGGGGAGGGAGTACCGCAGGTGCAGAGGGACTGGATGTCGAGGAAGCTGAAGACGTAGAGGAGGAGCTCGTCGGGGAAGAAGAACTCGTGGATGGTGGAGCCCAGCGGGAGGAGCCGCGAGAGCCGCGCTACGCCCTCCGCCGCCGAGGAGGAGGAGGCGCTACGCGGTTCGCTTGTGGTGGCCACCGCCAGGTGGTGTGTAGAGCTGGACGAGGAGGAGGGGGAGGCGCTACTCGCGAACGTGGCGAACGATGTCGAGGCCGAGGTCATGTGGGACGTGGACGAAGGCCCAGAACGCGGGGGCGACAGGGGCGGCGACACGATGCCCTCGTCCTCGGGCAGCTCTCTGATGTCGGCCGAGGAGAGGGGCAGATGGTGGAAAGATGAAGAGGAGAATAGCGACGATGATGCTGTCGATGATGATGACGATGACGAGTAGAGGGAGGAAGAGGCCTTGGCCTTGGGACCCTTGTAGACGTTGTGCTCCCAGAGGCCGCTGACCACGGCGCCCGCGCCGCTGTGGTGGGCGGTGCCTTCGCCATGTCGGATTACGCGGCATTCGCCGTGGTACCAGGCGCCGCTCTGCTTGTGCTGCGCCATGTGGCGTGGGGCTGTGAAGGCCTCGAGGAAGCTCAGCAGGGCCGATGTAAGGGCCTCGTTCTCGCGCGTGCATTCGATTACGAGATGCTGCTTGGGCACTACGCTGCTCGCCCCCGCCCCCGCCCCCGCCCCCGCCAATGTGGGGACCGCGATGGGCGACGAGGACTCTCGCCGCTGGCCGACGGCTGTGACCGCAGGTGGTGGAACGGGCAAAGAACATGAAGATGAGGAGGAGGAGGAGGCCTGCGTAGCAGGAGGATGGCGAATGTGGCGAAGGAGGGAAAGGCCAGAGGAAGAAGGCGAAGTACTCGCTTCCACTGATTCCTTCTTTGCCGAGGAGGCCATGGTATATCAACTGCCGCTGCGCCCTGACCACCCACAACAAGGTCCCTGTCTCCTTTTTCTTGCGGCTTTTCTCTTCCTCGCCAAGAATTCGCATAATCGCATTAGCCTCTAAAATCAAGAATTGATTTTAGTTTCTCTTTCTTTCTCTTTCTATTTCCTCCCATTCTGGGGGTTTCATTTTTGGCCACCGGTGCAAACAACAATCGAACGGCCGGATTGATTGGTGGCCGAGAAAAGAGAGAACTTGAAAGCTCGTGGAGGTCCTCCCGCCAACGAGGAGAAGGAGGAACCGATGAGCCTCGGCTCTTGAAACGGCTCCCCACATCCACCAGAAACGGACAAGACAAACTACATGTCCAAACTGCTGCCATTTTGGCGGGCTCGGAAGCTGCTGCCGTCCGATGTAGATGATGATGGCAACAACAACAGGGGGGGAGGCGCGATCGGTAAGGCGGCGGGCAGCCCCATCGTCCATCACCATCACCACCACAAGAAAAACAACAACAGCAGCAGAAAGAGGTGGCGCCATTCCGTGTACGGCTATCCATCCCGCCCCCCTACACAGGGAAATGGAGGAGATGCAGTTGTAGCAGACGACAAAGATGAAGATGAAGATGATGGAGACAAGAAGGAAAAGGAAGCAGAGATGGCCGCGGCGCCCCCCTCAGGCGGCCTTGCGTCGAGGGCGTCGTTGGCATCGACGTCAGGAGACCGGTCGCCTGCTGCGAGCGGGCGGCGGGCGACGACGGCGGCGGCGGCGAAGAAGAAGAAGCTGGGCCGCGAGCGCAGCCGGTCGTTCTCGTCAGACTCGTCGTCGTCCTTCGACAGCCTGTTCCCCACCATCACCATCAGCGGCGGCGGCGGCGACCTGTCCTGCTACGCGTGGATGGGACCCGACAGCTGCCCGCGCCCCGCTTCGGCGCCGCCGACGCCCACCACCACCACCGACGCCGCCGCCGACGCTGCAGCCGCCATCGATGGAGCCCACCGCACGTGCGACACAGAACGGGCGCCTCGACGACGGCCGACGCCGGCCGACGCGACCGATGCCTCCTCGGCTCTGCGTAGCGCCATCACCGCTGCCGCTGCCGCCGCCACCACCGCAGACCCGCCACCGCGTGAATGCACCACCACCACCGCCAGCGGCGGCGGCCAGAACAGTGACGCACGGCACGACGTGGCGGCGGCGGCGGAGGAGGAGAACGACGACGACGGCGATGGTGACGACGAAGACGATGGCGACGAGGAGGAGGAGGAGGTCGTGGCCCGCCGTCGGGTGTACGATGGGCGCCGGGGCGCAGGGGCGCCGGGCGTGGTGGAGGAGAGGAAGCGGGCGGGGTCGGCCGGCGACTACCTGTGGGGCATCGCCACCGCCGACCCGCTGCCTCTGTCGCCCTCTCCCGAACCGCGGTGGCGGCGGCGGGCCGGCGCTCATGACGATGAAGAAACCGGCGACGAAGACGAAGACGACACTGACGACGACGACGATGAAGGCAACGACCTCTTCGTCGCGGCGTCGTCAGCCCGCCAGCCCGCCGTCCACGAGCGCGAGCAGCCGCGACAGACACCGCCGACGCCGCACCGCGAGAAGCACCACCACCAGCACCACCACCACCAAGCCGAGGCCGCCGCCATTGCGGCCATGAAGAAGTCAACGAAGAAACGGCGCCTCTCGCTGCGGCTCTTCTCCTCCGGCGGCGGGTCGCCCGAGCAGCAGCAACATGCCGCCGCCGCCGCTGCCGCTGCCGCCGATGGCGCCTCCCATCAGGTACCACCCCACCACCACCACCAAACGGACATATTACTGGGCACCGGCGCCGATCTCACTCCTCGCACTTCGCACACCTGCCCGCACGCGCGACGCGACCCAAGGGCGGGCTGTCACTCTCGCGGGTGGTAAACAAGTTGACGCGTGGCGGCGGCGGCGGCGGCAACCAGCAACAGCACGGCACCGGCGCCGGCGGCGGCGGTCATACGGTGTCTCCGGGCCACCCGGAGCTCGCCTCGCATTCTTCGCCGGCCCCAAGCCCGCTGCCGCCGCTGGCTTCCTCGAATTCCTTGAATTCTTCTTCTTCTTCTTCTGCCGGCGGCGGCGGGCCAGCTCGCGATGGCCACGCGGCCTCAATCCTGGCGGCCGTCGGAAGCGGCCACTTCCGATCGTTCTCGCCGGCCCAGCAGCAGCTGCAGCCGCCGCCGCAGCTCCCGCCTCGCGCGGCGGACGGGTGGGGCCACGGGCCGCCCCCGCTGCCGCACCGCCGCAACATGCGCCCCGCCAGCTGCAGCCTCGGCGCCTACGACGCCAGCACCGGCCGCACGCGGGCCGAGCGCGACGAGCTCACCTCCGCCGCTTTCCGCGGCAGCGGCAACCCACCACCACCACCGACGACGACAACGACGGCGCGTTCGCGGATGGCGATGCTGACCACCGTGGGCAGCGGCAGCATCGGCAGCTCCCTGTCGCGCCGCGGTGGCGGCGGCGGCAACCCCAGCCTCGCCGACGCTCCGGGCGATGACGTGGCCAGCGCCAGCAACAGCACAAGCGGCGGCGGTCGCGTTGCGCGCGGCGGCAAGGGCCTTGGCGCGGGCCACAAGCTGCACGAGCTGGCCCTCTTGAGTTCGTCGTCGTCGGTGGCGGCCGCGGCGGCGCAGGAGCGGCGCAACAGGGACAAGGAGTGGCGCTGGAGCTGGAGC